CTTTCCCAGACAACCTAGCCAGATTCAACATTGCCATTCCCTCTAGATGTAACTTCTGCCACAATGGTCCCCAAAACTTGAACCACACTCTTTACCAGTGCAGGCTCTCACAAAAGATTTGGAGGTTTTTTTCCACCCTATTTGACGGGCCTGTCATTCAAAGGGGGGACACCATCCACGACGTATGCATGATCTGGTGGCTTGGTATGTGCAGAATAAAACTTATAGACAAAATCCACTCTATACTCCCAGGGATGATTGCATGGGGACTATGGAAAGCTTATAATGCTGAAATCTACGAACGGAAGGCCTTCAACGAATGCTCCATCATCACCTCAACCATGAAGACTATACAAGAGTACCAAAAATGGATGATCCTTGATGACAATCTCAAATCTTTGGGTCTTCGTTCCAACCTACGCAAGCCTTCTACCTTGTTTATGTAATACATTTTGTTGTTCTTTTTCGGTGGGCAGAACCGTACCCTTCTCCCACATTGCTGTAATTGCTTCTTTTATCCATTTTTCAATAAAATTTTATTATATATATATATATATATATATATATATATATATAGAATTTTATTATATTAAAAAGAAAAGATGAAAGGGTACATGATGGGTGGCCAAGAGTCCCAACAAGACAGGCCAAGAGAAAAATAAAAAGGTACCAAATTACAAAACAACAATGCATGAGAGATTCCACAATAAACAACCAAACAGAGAACCTCCGACCAGCCACCAAAAACCAAACAAAATACACATGGAGTGGGATGCTTTCTTCTGCAAACTTCTCCCAGCCACATTATTACCTCCTCTTAAAGCAGTATATGTTGAGATCCATTGTACCAAACACAGCAAGAGCTCCATCTTAGGAGTTATCCCATGAAATGTCTTGACCAATAGAGAGTTACCAAGACCCAGGACTTGAAACAAAAAGGACATCAATGTAGCATTCCAGGATTTCCAGCCACAGTTTCGAATATATAGTAGGAAGAGAAATCATCTAAAGCTGCCCAGTACCAAACTTTAGCTAAATTCCGTATTAACTGGAGAAAGCCAACCTTAAACGTAGATAAACCAAGGCTAGAATTACCTTTACAGCACCCTGAACTGCAAGAGGTTGAACGGTCTGGAAAGATTTGTGGTGGTGATACATCGAGCAGTAGCTTTAATCCCCTATGAGAAACTATTAAAACAATCTACTGCGATTCCCAGCTCATGTGAGCCGTGACTGCCTCTGCGTCATAGTTTGAGTAGGCCAAGAAAATTGGATGTTTAGTGCCCTTTATGTGGACTAAATCAACATTTTCCATACTTTTAACAATCTCCCTTGTTACCCTAAAAGATACCCCTGCTTGGTCTTGGATGAGACCCTTCTTAAGAAGCTCTATGAGTTCTCTTTGTGCAAGTTTTTCCCGGATATAGTCCTCTGTTTCTCTAAGGACAGCCTCGAAGTAGCTTTGAAAGATTGGACCAAAAGCCTTTTCAGCATCAATCTCTTCCTTGGACAAGCCATTTACCGCAGCTTCCCCTTCCATACATATATTTTGACAGTCAATCCCCTTGTTGGCCTGTTCTATATCCATTTCTAGTATTTTTGTTGAGATTGAAATTCTCTGAACTTGTTCCTCTTCCTCATTCCTCTCAAATATCGGTTCCTTCCCATTGTCGTGTTCCAACCGAGGTAATGTAGTATCATTTGTAACCAAAGCTTCTACTTCCTGTGTCTCTGCCATTTCCACTCCTATTCCCGTTTCAGCAAGGTAAGTTGTTAAACTTTTAAGGGCCTTGAGAAATAGTTTGGAACCTAAGCATGAAGTTCCAATTGGTATGAAGATTTGCTGATGGTATCCCTCTCCTGTCTGAGAGATGCGAATAAAATCTCCAAAGTCATTTGAGTCCCATAAGATCTTTAATGAAGATTCCCCCTCAAACCTGCTGATCAACCATCCTCGTCGTTGGCAGCTTAGATTTTCAATTAACCACAGGCAGGCAGATTGAGATATCGAGATTGTACGAGAAATACCTTTTTTGGATTCGGATATGTGTAGAAGGCCTTTAGAAGCGTTGAAAGTAAATTCCTTACTTTTAATGGAGACGGAGAAGGTCCCTGAGCCGTCGTGTACTGGTCCATTGTAGCGCTTGTTTGTATCTCCCTTCGAGTAAGATCCAAATCTGAGTCGATTAAGATCGCCATAGATTCTGAGATTTCTTGATCGCACCCCACCGAAGTACGCTTGTTGAGGAGAATACCTTCGATTGTCCCGCCGTTGATCTGAAAACCTTCGATCTCCCTCGCTATATTTCCTTCGAAAATCACGATTCCATCGCCGAAATCCCCTCCCCCTCTCTAGAAACCCTGCGGCGGCCATATATATATATATATATATATGTATGTATATATATATATATATATATATATATATATATACACACACACACACACTAGCAAGAAACGCACTTTGTGCGTTTGGTGCCCAAAATTTAAAGAAAATTATGAAATTTAACATGTATGACTTTGTATGGTGTCTAAAAGGAGTTCTAGAAAACAACAGTGATGTTATGCTTAGGGCCCCACAGAAAATGTGTTGGGGAGACTCCCCACATACTCTGTAAAATGGAACCAACAAGAGGCCTCTCCAACTCACGAGTCTGGGAAAAAACATGGCATCCATTACAACTATAGTCGCTGACAGCCTGGGTACTCTTCGTGCTAACCGCAATAACCATATCTTTGAATGCCACGACCTGATGGTAACGGTCGAGCAACAAAATCATGCTAACATCCAAATCAAAAACATAGACTGGGACAACCCTCCCAAAACCTTCATCCAAAAGAAAGCTTCACTACCCGTTCTGGTGTAAGCATTTTGAGTCCAGATACTCATTAACAATCAGGGTGTAGTTCTCAAATAAATTACTAACAATCTTTGTTTTCGGGTGAACCATTTATGTGTATGAACTGAACAATCAAGGAATCCTCAAAAGGGACAGGAATCCTCAAAGAAGGAACAACAAGTACCTGGTAAGAACTCCAAACCAGTGAAGCCAAGTCACAAAGCATAGACTTTTGAGACTTGGGTCGGCCGTGGATAGACGCCAGTGGATGAAATTCGCCCCTAGGCATAAGACCATCGCCATAGAGTGCTGGACCATACTCCACTAGGCCAGCCCCTAAGTCGATCCAGATGTAACGGTCTTTCCCTGTCAAAATGGTAACTTCCGGGGATTGATCACCATGGGTGTAGCTATAAGCATAAGGCTAAATCAAAAGAATTGAAACCTAGAGCAAACAAAAAAAGTAAATTGAATGATATTGAACATGGGAAAAATAATACAAAATTTTTCACAATGCACTTGATAATCTGGTACTTACCTGCATGAGGGGTCATTACAAGCATAAGCTGAGCGCCCAAATACTTCAAAGGGTACAGAAAAAGATTCATTATAAATAAATCCAGTGTATATTGAGAACAAAGCCATCATCAGAATAACATATCGGGCACCAAAAGTCATGTCCATTATATCGCCAAGCTTCTGATACCAAGAAAATTGGAAAGAGAAAATGAATTTTATCAAAACTCTTATAGTTTCTCAAAATGAAAAGAAAAATTAACTCTAGGAAATTTCTAATTAGATTTTAGCAAACTATTATTAACAAACCAGAACAAATTGTCACTTTTGTTAGTTCCGTATTCTTTCAATTTAATTTTTTTAATTTATAAATAAACCTAACTTGTCATGTTTCCCATCTAAAGTAACAAATAGCATCCATAGTCATGTTCAGTATAACAGTACTATGTAGAGTGGAAGAAACATCAGGATCAGTACTGGAGGTGGAGTAGGTTTACTTGTATTGAGATTTTTACCTGGCTAGAAAGTTTCTTCTCACAGAAATGAAAATACATTGATGCAAGAAGCAGACATATCCCGTGTCCCTAGTCTCCGAACATGACGGCAAATAGGAATGGAAATGTCACAATTGTGAAAACACCTGGATTTGCTTCTTGATATTTTGCGACCCTATACAAATAATCTATAAGATACTCTGATAGCAAACTTACAATTGCATAAGGGCTCAAATTAGTCGAATATATAAGTATTACTTCCTCTGTCCCATTTCATTTGTCCCTTTAACTATTCATGTGGTCAAACCAACTCTTCTTTATTACCTAATGTTCTAAAACACATTTTTTATCATATTCGAATTAGTTTGTAATGAACTTCTATCGAGCTTCTTAATCCAAAAAGCCTAGGGAGTGTGAGTTTTTAGTTTCAGTTACAAAACCTTCTAAAGAAACACTAATTACTAGGTTATTCCTTTTGGATAATTGGTAGTTACTACTGCTACTCAGCGCACCAGTTTCATCTGGTCGGCATCTTAACACTAAGCCTCAGGTTATGAAGTGGGCTTCAATAGGTGCCTGATAAATGAATTCGAGGCCACTGGATAAGTGCATTTAAACAACCATCCAACATTTAAGTGCCTCCACAAACATCCCATGAACGTTTATGACTAAACTATCCACACATATGAATAATCCATCATGTCCATTATATGTGATGTTACTATTACTCACCCATATGCCTCAACAATTTCTTGGAAAGCAGAAGTAATTAAATTTGTTAGTACGGAAATAAGTAGGTGGTGATTCTGTGGTATGCAACACCTGGAACACAGTCCCAACTTGTGAGTTACAATCTAAAGCTGCCCGGTCCAATGCAGCTTGTACCTGCAAAGCCATGCCAAAAATCATTTAATCATCAATCTAAACTTAACCAAATAAAACTTCAAAATACATGCAGTGAGAACTGAAGCCAAGCATCTGAACAGGGAGCACACTGGAAAATAATCATTCTATAACATCTGAGACTAATGAAAACACAATTGATTTGTAATAATTACCAATCAATCCTAATAAAAGTTGTAGGATCGAAAAACTTTAGGTAAAATGAGAACAATTCTTATAGTGAATGCACACAAAAGATATAAAAGCTGGACTTGTTATGTTATTCTTATTTTTTAGAAAGGAAATACACACATAGAACTTCACTTCTTTAATTACCTTAAAAACATAGTGCTCACCCTTATTTACTACACAGACTACACAGTCTGAACCAAATTTATTTAAAAGAGATCAAAGTCAGCCTTTATCGTTTCAAAAGCAGCCCCAAAAGTATGATTACTCACATTAAAATAGGCTTCACAATAATATTCTATTTCAAAATCAGCTTCTAAAAATTCTCTGCTATCTTGAAAATCAACTACAAATTGAGTTTCTTTTCCAAACGAGACTGAAGTTCAATTTTAAAAACAGCCCTAGGTGTTTCACATGTATTCCAAAAAGTAACTTCAAATTCGTATTCTGTTTCAAAACCAACTTGAAATATATACTCTGTTTAAATTTATTCATATATACTTTGTTTTAAAGAAATTCCAATTAAGAACACAATTTCTTCATTTAAAAGTGCAG